CCCCGCACTCCCGACCCACAGCCCCCTGCACTTCCAGCCCTGTCGGTGCCCCGCACTCCCGACCCACAGCCCCCTGCACTTCCAGCCCTGTCGGTGCCCCGCACTCCCGACCCACAGCCCCCTGCACTTCCAGCCCTGTCGGTGCCCCGCACTCCCGACCCACAGCCCCCTGCACTTCCAGCCCTGTCGGTGCCCCGCACTCCCGACCCACAGCCCCCTGCACTTCCAGCCCTGTCGGTGCCCCGCACTCCCGACCCACAGCCCCCTGCACTTCCAGCCCTGTCGGTGCCCCGCACTCCCGACCCACAGCCCCCTGCACTTCCAGCCCTGTCGGTGCCCCGCACTCCCGACCCACAGCCCCCTGCACTTCCAGCCCTGTCGGTGCCCCGCACTCCCGACCCACAGCCCCCTGCACTTCCAGCCCTGTCGGTGCCCCGCACTCCCGACCCACAGCCCCCTGCACTTCCAGCCCTGTCGGTGCCCCGCACTCCCGACCCACAGCCCCCTGCACTTCCAGCCCTGTCGGTGCCCCGCACTCCCGACCCACAGCCCCCTGCACTTCCAGCCCTGTCGGTGCCCCGCACTCCCGACCCACAGCCCCCTGCACTTCCAGCCCTGTCGGTGCCCCGCACTCCCGACCCACAGCCCCCTGCACTTCCAGCCCTGTCGGTGCCCCGCACTCCCGACCCACAGCCCCCTGCATTTCCAGCCCTGCCGGTGCCCCGCACTCCCGACCCACAGCCCCCTGCACTTCCAGCTCTGCCGGTGCCCTGCACTCCCAACCCACAGCCCCTAGCAGTGCTGAGCCCCGGCCCCCTGCCCGTCTCTCCCCACAGGTGGGCAGTTCAAGAAGGAGGTGGTGGTGGATGGGCAGAGTCACCTGCTGCTGATCCGGGAAGAGGCGGATGCCCCCGATGCCAAGGTAACCCCCTGACAAAGTGGGGGCAGCCCCAGGCTGGGGATGGGGGGGTCACAGAGATGCCCCATGGAGCATCTGGGGCCATTGCAGGGGGCATCTCTAGGGCTGGGTTGTGCAGGGAGCAGGACTTGACCCCCTGCCCCTTCCCCCCAGTTTGCTGGCTGGGTGGACGCGGTGGTTTTCGTCTTCAGCCTGGAGAATGAGAGCAGCTTCCAGGAGGCAGCACAGCTCTATGGACTCCTGGCCACCCACCGCAGCCCCGGCGACATGGCCCTGGCACTCGTGGGCACCCAGGGTGAGAGGGGGTCCAGTAGGGGGCGCTGGGCTGTATAGAGCGGGGGGTCCAGCAGGGGGCGCTGAGCTGTATGGGGGTGGGGTCTAGCAGGGGGCGCTGGGCTGTATGGGGGGGGGGGACCGCAGCGGGCCCCCCCGGCCCAGCCACAGTGCCCCCAGCTCCTGGGCATGGGGGGCCATGGGGCATTAACCCTTCACATGCCATCATAGTTTTGACCCCTGGAGGTGCTGCCCACCCGCCTTGTCCCTGAGCTCAGAGCCCAGGGACGTGGGTCCTGGGGGGGTGAGGGGAGCCTCTCCATGCATCCCACTGAGCCAGTGCTACCCCCCCCCCCACAGACAAGATCAGCGCCTCGAACCCGCGGGCTGTGCCCGACTCCCAGGCCCAGACACTCTGCGCCGACATGAAGCGCTGCCTCTACTACGAGACCTGTGCCACGTATGGCCTCAACGTGGACCGGGTCTTCGTTGAAGGTGCCATGGGGCTGGGGGGGCGTGAACCTGGATGCTGCTGGCCATGGCCCAGATCACAGAGGCCCCTGGGCGGGGGGGACCGTGGCCAGAGCGACCCCCTGACTCCCCCCCGCCATGTCTCCACAGTGGCACAGAAGGCCGTGGCCCTGAAGAAGCAGCAGCAGCTCCTGGCATCCTGCAAGTCTCTGCCCAGCACCCCCAGCCACTCGGCCGGCTCCACCCCCGTGGGTGGGGTGCACCCGGGGCAGGTACCAAGAGCAGAGGGGGCATTAACCCTTGTGTGGCCTCAGGTGCCCCCATCCCCCCCACATCCCACTGCCCCCGCTGTCCACCCACTGCCAAGAACCCAGTCGTCCAGCCCACCCTCCCACCACCGCTGACAGCGTATCTCCCGCAGGCCAACAACGGGGGCCACACCAGCGACTACTCGTCCTCGCTGCCCTCCACGCCCAGTGTCAGCCACCGGGAGCTGCGGGGCGAGGCCACGGTTCCGGCCACGGCCACTCTGGGCACACCCAGCTCACTGCACCGGGGCGCCAAGCGCCGCACCAGCCTCTTTGCCGTGAGTGGCACCCAGTGCGGGGTGCGGACAGGACACGGGCACTGGGAGGGGGGAGCTGGGTTGTCCTCCAGGGCAGGGTGCCTGGTGGGGCCGGTACATGGGTACCATGCCCTGACCATCCCCTTTCCCCCCGTCTCGGTGCAGAACCGCCGGGGCAGCGACTCGGAGAAGCGGAGCCTGGACAGCCGGGGGGAGGCAGGCAGCGGCCGCGCAATCCCCATCAAGCAGGTGAGGCCCCTGCATCACCAGGATCAGGCCCTGCCCAGGAGGGAGCGCCTGGCATTGGCTTGGCAACAGGGACAGCCCAGGGGGGGCACATGCCTGTGCACATGCCTGGGGCACACATTTCCCCCATGCATATGGATGCCTGGCACAGATACATGTACCTGGCACATTTTTATAGGTGCACACTTCTGCCTGGTACACGTCTTTGTAGGTGCACATGCCTGGCACACACATCCTCTGTGGGTGCATACACCTGGCACAACCCCCTGTGAACGCACACCCCTGGTTCATGAACTCCACTGTGGGCACACACGCCTGGCACACGCTTCTCCCATGGGTGCAGACACCTGGCACAACCCCCCGTGAGCACACATGCTTGGCACGCTCACCCCTCTGTAAGTGCACACACCTGGCACACGCACCCTAGTGTGAGCTCACGCTCTTAGCACCCACACTCCACTGTGACCACATATGCCTGGCACACGCACTCCACTGTGGACACACACCTGGCAACACCCCCCCCCCGGG